CATTTTATTTGACGATCGCAGCTTCTTCCCGCTTCTACTCTCATTAGAATGTCGGTGGGAATCTTAAACGGCGTTGACGAGCAATCGCAGATGCGAGAAATTGGTGTCTAAATGTCTGATCTGCAAAGGGCAGTGCAGCCCATCTTTAGCAGATATGATATGATATTATATAGTGTCTGAAGGCATCTTGCGTTCAAATTGAAAACACATCAACGCCCGTGATGCAATTTCTTTTTACCCTCAGCGACTGTAGCCTGCGTTGCAGGCGCAGGTTAATTAGGTTTTTACAGTAAGCAATACACACTGAAAAAAGGAGTTTGTTTATCAGATTTTGTTTGAAATCAATACAGATCATGAAAGGCAACTGAATGTTTGCTACTTCGCTAAAACATAGTTAATTAAACTAGAATGGTTGGGAAACCCTTTGTTATAGGTTTTTGTTAGCTTTTTTGGACCTGACCGTGCACAACGTTCAATAGCATTCCAATCATTTTGAAGTTATTGACCGATAGAAACATGGCGTTAATTTATTCAGTCATCATTTGTGAACAGAAAACAAAGGATTGTGGAAGGTCAGGGAGCTTCCAGCATAAACTGCAGCACCATTGTTTTCAACTTTGACGTTTGTCGGGTTTCCTAACCTCTTTTAATAACTATGGCTAAAAAGAGAATTCTCCATGATTCAAACGAGTTTTAGTTCATACCTGGCCTATCCTACGAGCAGCGGTTTTTCTCTTGCATGGCGTTTGGCGTTTACGAAGTCGTTCGCGTTGCTTGTCGGTTTGATTATATAACAAACCAACGACGCGACGCCAGCGACTCGTAAACACAAAATGAGCTTTTTGTGAATTGCTTGGAATAACCAAGTTATCAAATTATGAGATGGAAAAGTCAGGATTCTAATAAATAAGTGTTTTTTTATCAATAGAACAGTTTAAATAAGGCTTAACAATTATTCATATTAAAGGCTTACTTTCTAATGACATAATTACATTAAAAGAAATATTATTTTGGGGAGACCGCAAAGGGAGTCAACAGGTCAGATAAGCCAAACAACGACTTTGCAAACTCGCCAAGAGGTGTCTGTAAAATCCGGAACAGTAAACGGAACGGAACACCCTGGAACACAGCCGGAACACCCCAGAAGCCCGAATACCCCAGAAACAGCCCCTGATGTTTCAGTTATCTCTAACTGAAGCTGCCCATACCGTTATTTCACGATAAATGCCGAGCGCGATAAAACTATCGAATCAAAACTGATTAACGGCATCTCGGTTATAAACACGGCGAGATCTCGGCTACCGAACCAGTAGTCCATAGTAGAGTAGGGGTTTCAGAGTGAATTCTACTCCAAGGCTTTGTATGAGCAACATGCGTTTCGGACATGAAAATTGTTCATAGAATTCGCAATGAACGTTTTTAATTATAAAATGATTTTGAGCTTTATTCTAATATATAAAAGGCATTACTGCTATAGGGAGCAAAACCCGGTCTAAGTAACTCAAACTGTTGCTTTCGAGCTACACAGTTTGTCAATCAACTTTGAGCCTCCTAGACAGTTATTTTGGGAATATTATACTGGACATACTGGGCTACAAAATTATCAATCTTCATTAGCTTCTCATAGTCGAAATTCGGCTGTTGGGTTACCCATTACGTAACTCTTTGACATTATTGTCAGATTATCTTAGCAACAAAGTAAGAGATGCTCACTTAGTGCTAACTTTAGGTCTTTGCGGCTCAAAATAGTCTCTCTTTGTTTAAGCAAACAAGCTGATTCATGCTGTGAGTTGCAGACATCCCCTTTTTTTCTTTAACTCAGGCATGTTAAGGCCAGGGTCATCTCATAATTTGCATAATTTAGCGAAGCGGCATTTGAAACGGATTGTTTTGATCAGTCGTCATGAAACTTGGCAAACAGTTTTAGCTCGGTGGCCTTAAACAATATGAGACATTTTCATTGTTGAAATATTAGTCACGTGACCTGCAAATGGTCGTTAAGGTTCAAAGTGTTGAAATTAAAACGGGGGAAAGGAAATGAAAGAGCAGCAAATATTCTTAGGCACCAGTGTTTTTCCCATGGCCTGGATATTATGAAACAGTCCTGCATCTTAGTGGAGCAAGGATTACGAAATAAAGAAAAACAGGTCACATGACTTACAAAAGACTTTAATACAGGCGTATTTTGGGCGGAGGAAAGCTGCTTCTTTATGTTCTTATTGTTGTAACCGCCATCTTTGATTTTATGACGGAGGATAGATTAGTATAGGTAATAGCATGATTAGTAGTGATATTTGGCAATAAATACCACGAGTGATATTTCAAAATTGTTATACGTAATATTACGAGCCGTTAGGCGAGTGAAATTTGAGACAATTTTGAAATATCACGAGAGGTATTTATGCCAAATATCACGTACACATCATGCTATTATTTGTTTATACTACTACCCTCAAAAGGTTTGTAATTTTCACATGTAGGTATTTCAAAAAAAAGCTGAAATACCACTGCTCAAAGCCAATCAAATTGCAGAAATTTGTTATGTAGTAGTATAAGGGAGAGTAAAAATAGTAACCCTTAGGGTAGGTTCTAGAGCGAAAGAAGGAAAGGGGAGGGGGGGAAGAGAAAAAAATACGCCTGCCCGATATCATTGTTCTTTTGGGAAACTCCGTACGCTGGCAAACGAAGCCCCTGATTGGTGCGGCTTAGGGGAGGCAGATTGATACCTGTCAATCACCTGTAAGTCTATATTGTTTATTCCGTTTTCGTTTGCACGCAACCAGAATTAATCTGAATTCAGAAATGGCGGACGTAAATTCGAATTTTAACTCTGCTGTCGAAGCAAGCCTTTTGGAATTAGAGCGGCAGGGAATGTCGCGTGTATTACGTAATCAGAAAGTCAAAGCGATTTCTACAATGGCATCAGGACAAGATTTGCTCGCATTACTAAAACCTACACCTCTCTTACTTCATGCCAAAATGCTGCTTGTTCAAATACGATTTTTTCTCTGATGGGTAGATTATGCTCTGGACGGTTCGCGCAAAAGAAGGATAGGGCCAGGGGGAGGGGAGAAAAAAATACGCCTGCCCGATATCATTGTTCTTTTGGGAAACCCCGTACGCTGGCAAACGCATTCCTTGATTGGTGCGGCTTAGGGGAAGTAGACAACTGTATTCTATATTGTTTATTCCGTTTTCGTTTGCACCCAACCAGCAACTGCGGGAAAGAATTATTCTGAATTCAGAAATGGCAGACGTAAATTTGAATTTTAACTGCTGTCGAAGCAAGTCTTTTGGAATTAGAGCGGCAGGAAATGTCGCGTGTATTACGCAATCAGAAAGTCAAAGCGATTTCTACACTGGCATTAGGACAATTGCTCGCATTGCTAAAACCTACACCTCTTTTACCTCATCAGTGTCTCATGCCAAAATGCTGCTTGTTTCAATACGTTTTTTTCTCTGACTGGTAGATTATGCTCTGGACGGTTCTATGTTTTGACTGAGCAAATGTGATTTTAGCCGCTTGTTTCACACTGACAGGTCATGACACGCTTATCGCCGGATTTTCTGTGGTTTTTGAATTTCTGGTCGGCATGATTTCCTTCTGATGCAAGAGCATTTGATTTGACCTCTTTTGACGCATAAAGCTCCTTATCGTGGCTAAATAAGGCTTTTAGGTTCTCTATTTTTGTCCAAAGTGCCTCAGGGTGTCCGTGAATGTGATGTTTTCCAGACCAATCTATAGTCCGGTCCAGTCCAGCATTCACATTATTATATGCCATGTATTACCGGTATTAAGAAGCTACTAAAGCTATCTCACGACAGATTCTTCTCCTCCTCGCCGAGGCGTTAACACACCAGGAGCCTGAGGTATGTGCCACTGTTTTAGACGTCCTTACTTATGTCTTTTCGGGTATCCTAGACACTAAAACTACTAATAGGTAAGATGAGGGTTTGGCTAGTTTTAAGAGTTAGAGACGGCACATCGCTGAAATTTGTGGCGAATAAGACTCCGCTTCGATTTGAGGCAGAGGCGATGGTGTATTCCTTACGTTTCTGATGTCATTTAGTTAGTTGTGACCATTATTTTTAGAAAATACATGTAGCTAATGTTTCTCACAGAATAGCCACACCATACCACGTCATATTATGTAATTATTACCGGTCATTATTTTACTTCATATATACTTCTGTAAATCAGATCGTGATATCTCAATGAACCTGAGGAAGACTGGTATTTACCAGTCGAAATATCGCAACTAAACTCTATTTCACGTCCTTTGATCAGTCACTGCAAAAGTCTTCTTGACTGCAACGGTTTCTACAGAATGAGTTCACTTGTACGCAATTTAAAATTCCGTCTACCCTGACCTATCTGCTAAGACGCAAAAACTTTAAGGCGAATTCGTAGTCTTTAAATGGTTGGTTGATTAGAAAATTACGTAATTAAATGTTAACAAAATGTGATATATTTTAATACTAAACTTTTGCTTTACAAGAAGAGGAAAAGTGGATCCCTTCTGATCATTTTCCTCGAATTTTGCTGGCACAATACCTGCGAAAACTCAGGGGTTTCAGAGTGAATTCTACTCAAAGGCTTTGTATGAGCAACATGCGTTTCTGACATGAAAATTGTTCATAGAATTCGCAATGAACGTTTTTAAAATGATTTTGAGCTTTATTCTAATATATAAAAGGCATTACTGCTATAGGGAGCGAAAGCCGGTCTAAGCTACACAGTTTGTCGATCAACTTTTGAGTCTCCTAGACAGTTATTTAGGAAATATATACTGGACATACTGGGCTACAAAATTATCAATCTTCACTAGCTTCTTATAGTCGAAATTTGGCCGCTGGAGTTAACCCATTACTTCAGCGTAACTCTTTGAGAATATTCACAAAGAAATCATTTACAGGAATGAATATCTTTTTATAAGAGGTATCAATAAGGCATGTTGGGAATTTGTAAAGTTAATAAAAGAAAACGAAGAATTTTATAATGGCTCTAAAGCTCTTAGGATTATAAGGAAAATAAAAAAATTAAGAAGATTAGGTTATTTTAAAAATATTAATAGAATAGAATTTGAATTTGATGTTGAAGATATAAAATTTATACGTTCAGCAATAGAAGAATATAAAGATTTATATTGTGATCCATTTACTGGTGATTTAAATGAGGAACTATATAATATTGAAGCAGAAGTAGATAATCCTGGTTTTAAAAGTTTTTATAAACATTTTTGTAGATTTTACGATAAATTAGAAATAGATTATTTAGATAATTATTATTATTATATATAAATGGGATTAGAGTACTATGAGTAAAGTTTTAGTCTTTTAACAATGTTTGTTACAAGACTTATTATTTTGGTCTAACACCAAGTTTCCACAGCCTTATAGCAATTTTGTTTTTAAATAAATTATAGTTTAAATAATAAAAAGTTGATATAAAAGATGGAAGAGTTACTTAAAAAATTAGAAGAAGAAGGTTGTACAATTGAATGTGGACGGAAAGAAAAACAAAGAAAAAAAGAAATGAGTGAAGCAATGAAAAAAATTAAAAGAGAGTGGTGATGAGAATAAGATTATGCGTGCAAAAAGATTAGCTGGGTATTATAGTTTTTTTAATAATATGGGACCTATAACAACATGTCCTAATTTTCCCTTTGAAGAAGATAAGTATGGGTTGCATTATGTTCATGTTTATTTAGAGAATTTTGTTGATTCGGCAAAGAGGAGTATTGCTGGTGTGATGACAGCTCTTGCGAATGATGAGCCACTAGATCCTTTTTATAAATATCTTATGTTTACTCATCTTTATTCTCCAGAGCAAATAGCTGAAATTGATCGTGAAGAATTATGGAGAGAACAACAAAGGATTGAAAAAAGAGATTGTTTATGACTAAAAATTAGTATGAAAGTGAGGTGTATAATAACATTAGGGAAATCCCCATTTGATGAGTTGTGTGTAATTAGGGGATTTCCCAACAAAAATAATCTAATCAAATAATAAAATGGAATCCAAAAACGATATTCCTACACAAGAAGATTTAGATTTTAGAGTTGATGATGGTTACAATCATGATGAAGACCCAACATATGAGCCTAAAGATTCTTATTCATCAGATGAAGATAAATATGTTGTTACAGGTAAAGAGTTTAAAAAACTAACCAAAAAAGCTAAAAAACTCGGTGCTGATTCGCTTGATTATTCAACACGTAAAAATAACAAGTATATGGCAACACTTCCAAGTGGAAAGAAAATTCATTTCGGGTCATCACAGTATCCAGACTATCTTATCCATAAAGACAAAGATCGAAAAGAGAGGTATCTCGCTCGAGCTAAAAAGATTAAAAACAAACAGGGAGAGTTAACTTATACTAATCCTGAATCGAGTAATTTCTGGAGCGTGAATCTACTCTGGCCAGAAAAATAATTTAAAGATACCTAGGTATTATATAAAAAATGGAAGATTCAATAGTTTCGAAGCATTATGTGGATAAAATAAAATCAGGTTTTTATCTTGACAAAATTAATATTGATGGTAAATTTGAAATTTGGGAAAAGAAGAAAAATGTTTAGTATTACTTTGTTGTAATGGTAAATCAGATGATGGTAGTGATGGTCTTGCTGTTCGTTTACCACTTCCTCTTAGATTTGATGAAGAATGGTTTAAGAAATATAAAGAATTAAATTTAAATAGAGGGAGTTTTATTTCTTATTATCTTGATGGATATTTAAAAAGTGATTTAAAGAAATAAGAATATATAATAAAATGCAGTTATCCGGTTACGATCATTTAACACCAGAGAATATTGTTTTTAATGAAGCTAAAGAGTACAAAGTGAAAGATGGCAAGATCAAATACAAACGTATCCCAATTGAAGTCAAATATCCAAATGGAAAGAAAGGAGCTTTGGTAATCGAAACTCCACTTCTTTTTTCTTTTGGGGTAAATGAGAAGAAAAACCAAGAAACAAACAAGTTAGTAGGTTATAGTATGCCAGTATGTCTTTGGGCTAAAGATAATGAGCCAGATACTAAAGAAAAAGCATTTTTTGACGCTATTAACAATGTGATAGATATCTCTCAGCAACATCTAGAGAATGAATACGGTGCAGATCTAGCATCAACTCTATCTTCACCATTTTATTACAAACAGGAAGAATATACAGATAAGAAAGGAAAGAAGAAAACAAGAATAGACCCCTCATCCGCACCAGTTCTTTACGCAAAACTGATTTACTCAGAAAAATCTAAGAAAATTCTTTCACTATTTAAAACAAAGGGAAAGAAAGATTTAAATCCTTTTAGATATATTGACCAATATTGTAATGTTAAAATGGCTTTGATTATTGAAGGAATATTTATTAGTAAGACTGTAACATCTTTACAAATAAAAGTACATGAGTGCTTTGTCAAACCATTAAAGCCTAGGGAGTCTTTACTAACAATTGAAGAGGAAGAGGAAGAGGCTACTGAGCAAGTAGTTGAAGACTTAGTTATCTCTGATAAAGAAGAAACTGAGTAATTATAGGATTTATTTTTAATACATTATTTGTATTAAAAATCAACCAAATCCTTAGAACTCACCCATGAGTTAAATTTATCAGGATATCCACTCCATTTTACTAATGCCATTTTCTTTTTATTATCCCTCCTGATAATTTTTTCTATTCTAAATGTTTGCTGTTTTGCTTTTTGTAATTCTTGTCCATAGAAAGAACCCTTATTCTCTTCTCCTGTCAAATCAACGATACTATACGTAACAGGTTTTGTTGGAAGAACTTTATCAATTACAAATATCTCCTCTGTCCAGTTTGGTGTGTAACCTTTATCAAATACCTTTCTCTTATATTTTGAAATTCTAACTTTATCTCCAATAGAAAACTTTGGTTTACCAGGTTTAAAGTAAATAGAATCACCGTATAAATTAGACCAAACTTTACTTTCATTCTTCTTTTTACTAGCTTCAACAGGAGTCATTTTAGTGCCAGAGTGTCTCGCATTATTGTAGTCATTAACTAGTTTATCTGTCTTATCCCAGTAAACAGTGTTGTTATTCACAGTAAACATCTTCCACATTTTGTTTTTCATTGTTTTATTCCATCGCTCAACAACACTAGATTTTTCTTCATTTTCAGTGTGATACAGTTTAATTCCCTCTCTTTTCAGAAACTCTTTAAAATGTTTACTGATAAATTCAGAACCTTTATCAGTCCATAGCATCTTTGGTTTACGTTTTCTTTTGAATATGTCCTCAAATGCTTTACTAACAGTTTCAGTTTTCTTATCTTTCAATCCCCCAATCCAACCATACTTGCTAAACACATCTATTACCATTAGAAGATACTTTATCCCTTTATTCCATTTACTAAACTTTTGCATTTCAACCAAATCAGCAGCCCAGATATCATCAATTCCGTTTGAGACTACTGATCTCTTTTGAAAGCTTCTTGTGATGGGTTTGTGAAGTTCGTCGGCTAATTGTTGAGACCAATCACTACTCAACGCCGACGCGCGTTTAAACCAAGTCCAAGTTTTTGTTTTGTATTAATTAAGAATCTAGCAGTTGAGCCCCACTTTGGCATTTCACCATAGGGTATATCATCTAATGATTTTACCATTTCTCTATCGCAATCACCTTTGTTTCTTCCCATGTCGTAACAAATGTCGTGATAAGCTGCTATTTCATCAACTTTGTTATATGGTTTGACTTTCAATTCTGTTACTTTTCCAGTTTCAGGATCATAACTTAATTGTTTGTCTAGAGGATTGTAGGGGCCCATATATTTATACGAACCTGGAGTCCATCCTGCTTTTGGTTTTGGGAGTTTTCCAATCCATTTGTGAACATCAATTCCTTTTCCATCCAATTCTGGTCTATCAGTTTCATATTTATTTTTTGGTCTCACTTTTGTTGATAACTGGTCCATTGCTGTTCCAACAGAATCTTGAATAAATGGAGTGAGTTTATTAATCCCATAATTTACAGCTTTCTCTGAAGATTTTTATTTCTCATTAACTCGCTTGCTCCATATCTCCCCATTTCAACTGCTTTTTTACCCATCCAAGGTAAACCGTAATGAACAAATCCATCAACTGCTGTACCAACAACAGTATCAAAGACGCCCGCCCCTTCAGACGGGCTGATTAGTTTTTTGACTTTCGTTTTCTCTTTTTTCCACTTCCAGTTTGAGAAGCCGTTCCAGTTTTCACATATCTAACTTTTTTATTTCCACAAACTGCTCATCTACAAAAGAATTGAGTTCTACCTCTTTTATCTTTTTGGTAACCACTTGGCTCTGTGCAAGGAGTTACTCTTTTATCTACAATACAATATGATTCTGTCATTTAGTATAATGTTTAGATAAATATGTCTACTAGATCTATTTTTTAAAAAAGTGAACTTCAAAAGATATACAATAATTTAAATATGAGTTATGAATATGTTGAGCATGCTAGATTGGAAAATGACACTAGATTTATAAAAGTATTTGAGTTGCTGATGGAAATAAGTGATAAATCAAGTAAACTTAATAAAGTTGTAAAAGGTAATTATCTATTTATATAATAAATGGAAGCCAAATTCTTTTCTGAAATAGAAAAAAAGATGGATGTGAAAACATTAAAAGATTTTGAGAAAGATGTACGAACACAAATAAATAATGAGTTTGAGACTCTTAGAAAGAAAAATGATGATCTTTCTAGAATACTAATGGCTGGTGAATGTGAGATGTGGGGGAAAATCAGAGATGAGGACTATTCTTGGTTGAAAATAAATAGTGATAAAAAGAAGAAACTTTTTAGACTTATTAATATTTACTCGAAATTTGATGAAATAGTTGATAGTGTTAAAGATTTAAGTGTAAAAGTTGAGAGTGTTAAACAGCTAAAGAATTTACCAGATGATGGAGAATAAATTGATTTAAAGATTAAAAAAGTAATATATAGATAATGGAAGAAAGTCTTATTAATCTAGTTGAAAAATTTAATAGTCAGTCACTAGAAGACAATAGGGGTAAAATTCGAATTAATATTTATAAAGAGATAGAGGAACTTCGAAATAATGATGAGTTTTCTAGAATAATAGAAATAGGAGAAAGATTTTTTTTCTAATCTCATAAGATATAAAGAAAGTAGAAATACTAAATTAGAAAAACTTTTTAATCTTTATGAATGTTTAGAAAAATGAAAAATTAATATTGAAAGTTTTAAATATTTTGTAAATAAAGAGTAAAAAATATATATATTTATTAAATATTATTTTTATCCTCCAAAATACTCTTTTATAAAATCGCTGTTGTCATTATCGAAATGTGGGTTATGTATTACATTAAGAATACTATTACCCCGCCGTCGCTCAAACAGATAATATAAACACCAATAACCACAGAGAACAGTACTGCGATTTTGTATTTCATCCATTGACTAAACTATGCGTTTTCCGGAAGTACGAAAATACTTTAATGCTTCATTTGGCATTATCAAACCAAATGGATCGAAGTACTCAACTACATTGTCTATATTTCTATAACAAACCCAGTGTGTTCCAGAACCTTGAGTATCATCGAGATTGATTATTCCACATTCTTTTCTTATCCTATTTGGTAGTCCATCACGACTATATATTCCTCTGAAATGTTTAATACCAAGTCTTTTTACCCAATCCATGAGGTCAAAGTTGGATAGAGGTTTAATTACAAAATGGCCCCTATTAATGGAATTGAGTTGAATGGAATGTTTTTTCCTAGAAGAAGTCCTTTGCCTTTGGACTTTTTTTTTTAACGGCGCCACCTTTGGCGACGACTCCCATTCCAATTGGGTTTTTCCATGTACCTAAAAAAGGTGGTGGGTAATAAGGATAACCTTCACCATGTGTGGGTGGAGAAGGAGGATGTGGAACGTAAACATTTGCTGTATTAGATGATCCACGTCTGTCAACCTGCAGTCCCGCCCCTGCGGGCAGTCCAGATCCAAACATCTTAGATACTAAACTAATTGCCATTGGAATTCCAATTGATGCAAGAGTGCTAAGAAATCCTCCTTCTATCTGCCTACGAGTTGGTTTTATAACCAATCGACCACCTGTTTGATAAGCTTTGTTAATTTGATTTATTTGTGATTTGGTAAATTCTCTTACAAGAGGTGGTAGCATTGGGAAAAACTGTGGGGGAATTGTAATTCCTTTTCCAAATATTTTATTTATTCCAAGTTCTCCAAGTGCAGTAGCAGCACCAGTTGCTAATGCAGGAACAGTTTTTGAAATTCCTTTTATTGCATATGGTAGTACTTTTGCTCCAAGATATGCGAGTGAAGAAAATAAGTTTCCACCATGTTTTACAGAACGTCTAATCTGTGTTTTACTTATTTTTATATCTGATCCTGTGCCATTTGCAATAGATTTTTTTATTTTAGAAATTTGTCTTTTTGTCAACATTAACTCATCAGAACCTCGAAGATGAGAATGTTTTAACCGAAGAGTTAGTGGTGATTTATTTAATATTGCAGAAGCCAATTTTGACTTTTGTCCATCTGTAAGTGTTACACCATATTCTATATAAGTAGTCATTTTTATTATAATATTTATATTAAATTAATTTCAGGAAATTTAATTAAATCTCTTATTTTTTTCTTCTTAGGTTTAGGTCTATTTTCTTCTATTTTATTTTTATAAAAAGATGAAGTTTAATTTTATTTATTTTATCTAGTTTTTTCTTATTTTCTTCTTTTATATTTTTAAGTAAAAGCTGAAGATTTTTACTATTAACATGATTTAAAGTTTTTTTAAATTGTGTTTTACTAAATTTTAAATCAACTTTTTTCTTATTTGCCTTTGCCTTGTCAAGTTTTTTAATTTGGGTTTTTGTAAGAAAAACTATAAAACGTTTTTTTGTTTTTAGGTTGCTATAGTCTTGAGGTACAATGTAGCTNCCTGTTTGATAAGCTTTGTTAATTTGATTTATTTGTGATTTGGTAAATTCTCTTACAAGAGGTGGTAGCATTGGGAAAAACTGTGGGGGAATTGTAATTCCTTTTCCAAATATTTTATTTATTCCAAGTTCTCCAAGTGCAGTAGCAGCACCAGTTGCTAATGCAGGAACAGTTTTTGAAATTCCTTTTATTGCATATGGTAGTACTTTTGCTCCAAGATATGCGAGTGAAGAAAATAAGTTTCCACCATGTTTTACAGAACGTCTAATCTGTGTTTTACTTATTTTTATATCTGATCCTGTGCCATTTGCAATAGATTTTTTTATTTTAGAAATTTGTCTTTTTGTCAACATTAACTCATCAGAACCTCGAAGATGAGAATGTTTTAACCGAAGAGTTAGTGGTGATTTATTTAATATTGCAGAAGCCAATTTTGACTTTTGTCCATCTGTAAGTGTTACACCATATTCTATATAAGTAGTCATTTTTATTATAATATTTATATTAAATTAATTTCAGGAAATTTAATTAAATCTCTTATTTTTTTCTTCTTAGGTTTAGGTCTATTTTCTTCTACTTTATTTTTATAAAAAGATG